AATTCAGTTTGTGCCTGGAAAACTGAAATCGGGAACAAAAATCACAAAATAAAAATGGAACTGGCAATAACTTTTCACCATCTCCCACTGCTCTATCCCCAAAAAAACCCATGGGAGGGAGGCTTCTTTATGGAAACAATAATCACGACATAATTTAGTTTCTTTCCTGTCAAAGCGTAAGATTCTTTCATCTACAAACTCATCAAAAAGGGATTTTTCATCTTCAAATTAGATTAGCAAAGCACTGTAGCAAATGAATAGTTCACAAAAAGTGAGACTGATATCAACCCATCAACTTGATAAAGTTTGGTCATTCACAGAACTTGAACATAGTTGCTTTTAGACATGATCACAAGACATCTGCCATCTCTAGATTGATCGGGTGTAGCCAGCAGCCAATATTCTATGATCAACTTCTTCAGGAAATGCTAAATACTAGAAATGAGAGAATTTGATGTACATGTATGTCAATAAATACTGCAAATCACATGTAACTGAAATCTTAGACTGCAACATGACTATACATACTTGAAATAGGTGGTGATTGGTGATGCTTTGAAATCAAAACTGTCAGCCATTCCACTACGCCTTTTCTTGTACGCCACTTTGTGTCAGAATTTATGGTACTTGTATGCCCAAAAGCATCCAAATAATCCTCTGAGACAACATATAGCATGTTCCTTGAGCTTCCTTCAGTACCCACTACAACAAGGATTAACTCCCCTGAGGTATCCTTCCAAGTAGTAGTGCACAACACGACGGCCCTTCCCCTGAGAAACAACCTGCTCTTCCCACGAACTAAATACATGACCATCTGTATCCATCCTAATGCCACAGAGAAACAGTTTGGATTAATCGAAAAATTGCCCAGTTCTAAATACCCTCTTCCAGAAACATAGAATCAGTTTAGGCTAAAGAATCATGAGCAAACATAATCCTCCTAAGTTCTGTTACAATTTAGGACCCGATCAAACAAACATAAATGATTGGAACAAAAAACATCAGATACAAAGAACAGATTTTTCCAACAATTAGCTCCTAATGGTCATATAAAAAATGAAAAAAATAGCATCAAACCACAACCCCAAAATGAAACACAGACAGAATTGTGCTTATCCAAAGATAAACCAACCTTAATTCTAAAAAACTCTCAGCAGCTAAGCTACTAAGAACAGATAATTTTTTTCAAGAATTACCAACCAAGGATCAAATTCACAATGAAAAACAACAATGAAGCCCAAACCCAAGTGAAAAATGAAATAGGGTTTGCTGATTTTCAAAGATTAATCATGTACAAGAATAAAAACACACAACATTGAACCAGCATTGAGAAGACATCAAGTGCTCACACTTACAAGCAGCTAAAAAGAACCCAGAATTCAAGAAAAACAAGCTAAGCACGTGACTAGAACAAAAACACTTAAAAAAGAAATGGGTTTACTGATTTCCAAAAAGATTAACCATGTACAAGAACAAAAATACAGAACATTGAACCAGCATTAAGCAAACATCAAGTGATCACACTTACATCAAATAGCTTAGGATTGGAAAAGAAAACAAGCAGCAAAAAAGAACCTGGAATTCAAGAAAAATAAGCTAAGCATGTAACTAGTACTGACTGACCTCAAAAATAGCAAAAGTTTGTTCCTTTATTGAGAAACTGAGCTTTAGAAAAAAGCCAGAGAATGCTGAGTTGGGTCTTTTGTCTACAAGCGGTGACAGTTAGGGAAAAGGATAGAGTAAAGAGTAAAAGAACAAGAAAAGAAGAAAGAGAATGGGGGAGAAAAAGCCAAATGCCATTGTTGCCAACACAAGCAAAAGGTTTGAGCTTTGGGTTTTTGTTTGAACTTCTTTGTGACATGTGGAAGCAACAAGAAGGGAGAAACACAAAACTGAAGTTTTTTGAGTTTTAGCCTTTACACTAAACAAAATTAGTGTTACAACAGTAGTAGTCACAAAAGTGTATTCCAAAATTAAACTAAAAAGTCTGATCTTGTACCCGTTTCATGCTCATGTCAGGTTGGGGTAGTGCAGAAAAAATAACCCTGCGAAATTCTATTCAATTTATCGTAATCGATTAGTTAATATGTTGGTTATTTGTATTTTTAAACATGAAAAAATTCTTTGGCTTATCAAATTATGTGTAGAGCCGTGAAAAAAATTCAACAAAAGACAAACAAATCACTATTCGTAATAGAAACTTCAATTTGTTCACAAAATTAATCATATTTTCTGATAAACAGCTCTAATCAGCAAATTTTGAATTGATTGATTCAGAGTATTAATTATCAATCCAGCTATGAGGTCGTTCCACAGAACTAAGAATAAACAGTGCATTACTCGAAGCAATCAGTATTAAAAACTAGACAAAGAATAGTATGAAAAGGAGAAGGGGGTTTAACCACTTCTTTTCTTAGCAAATAAAAAGCTCGTGCTGTTTCTCTCTGAGAACATGAAAAAAGCAATCTGACAGCTTTAGTAATTGAAACCTAAAAAATGTGCGATCAAAACATAACCTAATAAGAATCAAGAGGTTCTAACATGATAATGGAAAAATCAGGCAACAATAATTCTCTGTTCACTTAATTTGAAATACTAAATCTAAATGAAAACACAAAATAATTTGTTTTGAAATGCCTTGTGTGCAAATGCCAAAGAATGCATCCCAGACAACACATTCTTAATGCCACAAGGATGTTTATCAGTTTCTCTCCCGAGACCACTTTTCAGTGCAAGAATTTCATTAGGTAGTTGGTAATCATCTAATTCACCACTATATTTGACATCGTGAATAATAAGGATCTTATAGTTGCCACTAGTTGAGTCATAAGGCAATCCCAAAATTCCTCCTGGAGAAATCGTAGATGTGGAAGTACTATTGATTCTCTTGAGGAGAGATTACATAGCAACAGGTTGGAATTCTCGAAATCCACATTATTATCACAAACCGTGATAATAGTCAAGCCATTGCAAAAATAATTGATTGCGCAAAACCCTGGTTTAGAGTTTGAAGGGCAATCAAGTTACTGTACATCATCAACCAGTTGAACCGACTACAAGACAACAATAGAATGAAAATATACAATCCTTGTAGCACTTCTGGGAAATAAGAAATTTTTGGGAATTTTGGTCATTCTTAGCATATTTGAGATGCTTCATCTTTTAAAGTAAGACTCGAAGATCAATGATTTCCAAAGTCTTGTGACAAATTTGAAATGAAGAAGAGTCTGCACAGGTAATTTCCTGAGTATATCAACAAGTATTTCCTATGGGAAGTGACAACCGTGACATAGAAAGGACAACAAAGAGTGATCCTATTATTTGAATTAAATGTTGGAACAATTTATTCATCTTTTATTTTATTTTTAAAAAAGTGGTAATAGATTTTCAAGAAAAAAGAGTTTGAAAAACGGGTGGGGCAACATTTTTGTAGAGTCGGAGTAACATAGCAAACACATACTCAGAGGAAACTTCATAAAGTTAAGACAATTATGCATAACCAATAAGAGAGTGTACAATACAAGAGCATGCCAACTTCTTGGCCAATTTCTAAAACTTATACATATAGTATAACCAAAAGAGTGCGCTCAGATGGTAAGCACCCTCCACTTCCAACCCTGAGGTTGCGAGTTTGAGTCACGAAGGGAGCGAAAAGGTGGGAGCTCCTAGGGAGGGATAAAAAAAAAGAATGTTGCTTATGGATCTATAAGATGTCTTTTCCAAACAACATGGCTGGCTGGCATAAAGAAGTTAAGTACACAGGATGAAAGTTTACTGAAGAAATGGTTATGGAGATTTTGTTGTGAAGATATGGCACTATGGAGGAGATTCATCTCAAAAAATATGGGCTTCAGAATAGCTGGATTACTGAGGAGGTGACTGGTACCTTTGGATGCTCTGTGTGGAAAACAATTAGAAGATTGTGGGTCTCTTTCACTAACAAACTGAAGTACAAAATTGGTTATGGGGAATAGACAAGTTTTTGGAATGAACTATGGATTGGGGAAGAGGATCTGAAGACTAAATTTCTAGACCTATTCATCTTGAGCTCACAACAGATGGATAAGGTGGCACAAGTATGGAGTCCTCAAGGGTGGAACTTGATTTTTAGGAGGGCACTAAATGATTGAGAAATCAACAGAGTAGCAGACTTGCTCCATACCCTAAATGCCTTTCCAGGGACAACTTTAGGCCCTGATTTGCCAATCTGGAAGCTGCATAGCAAGGGGATGACAACAAAATGGCCATGGAAACTGGTTTGGAAAGTTAAAATACCACATAAAGTCTCATGCTTCATCTGGTTGTTAATCAAGAGAGCCTATTTAACCCACGAAGTACTACAGAGAAGAGATATCCAAATTTGCTCAAGGTGTTTTATGTGTGAGCAAGAGGCAGAGACAAATAGTCATTTATTCATGCATTGCAAAACAGCTGCAAATCTATGGAACATGTTCTTCTGTATATTTGGGATAAGCTGGGTAATGCCAAGGACCTCATTCGATATGCTGCAAAGTTGGGAAGGAGTGGGGAGAAGAGGATCACAAGAAGATTGGTGGAGAAGTATTCCTGCAAGTGTTTGGTGGACATTATAGAACAAAAGAAACGAAAGAAGCCATGATGGGAAAGCTAGCAGCCTTCAGAAGATCAAGATGAAGAGTGCAAGTTTTTTGTAATTTTGGTGTAAACAAGATATAGTGAGGGAGATAGATAGCTTAGTTGAGTTCATAGGACAATTGTAAAGTTTCTATCTAGACTTTGGTCTGAAGTATACCCTCTAGGGTTGTAAATCCCACCCTGTCAGCTTTTACCTGATGGGCTTTTTGGTGCGAATATACAGTTACCATTATCAAAAAAAGATTTATTTTCCATGTTATGCAGTCAAAGACCTATACATTTACAAAAGACAAATCAAGCACCGTTGAAAGTTACTTACAAGTCAAAATTTACTCACAGTGCCAAAAGGATTTCACCATTATCGAAATGAACTAACGACTGCTAGACGCCAGCATTATAACTTGTAGAATTGTCTGAAATCAGTTCTTGTTACCTGCAATACAATCAATACACCGTCGCTTTTTCAGTTTAAGGACATCAGTATCTTGCTTCTCCGCTGAGTGTTTACAAGTTGACGCCATTTTGTTGTCTTCAGGTGACACAAGCTTGAGAGCCATCTGCTTTTTGCAGTTGTCAGGTTCTTTGATACTGCACTTGGATACATCATTTAAACTAGAGCTTATGAACGACTTTATATCTATCTTCCCCTTAACTTCAACCCATTTTTCATCGACCCAGTCTCTTGAAGTCCTCATGTTCTTCCTTTGAATCTCCAATAATATGTTCTCGCCTGTTATTGAGATAAAAAAACACCTTGGTGCATCAGGCATGTCCAACATTAATCATTAAAAATCCAAGACAACAAATTAGCCAGAAACTAGGACTACTGTTTAAAACTGTTTCCACTGCTGAGTTAGAAAGTCAATTTATGACAATGCTGAGCTTAGACATATGAGTTCAAGTAAGAATTTAAAATAATTAGAGACTCCAATTTTGCATCCATTGGCTGAGTTATACTTATGCGAATTTGCTATACATCAACCGATAAGCAAGAATTCTCCTTTAATTTCTATTAGAACTTTTTAGTTTTTGGGGACTGTTATTTCTTACCAGGGAAGTAAACCTGAAGATGACCACTTTCAGTGACATCAAATCCAGCAACAACACCTTCCCACCACCTGTCAGACCACCAAGCATCAACTGCAGCTCCTAGTTCAAAAGAATAGTCAGAAGAACCCTCTTGAGGCTGGGCAGAACTGTGAGGCGTCTAGTGCATCTCATGCCCAATTAATCAGAGACTGCAACTTTGTAGGAAGGAATCCATTCCTATAAATCAAGCAAATGTGATGAGAAAACAGGGTGATGGGAGAACGGACCAGTCAATATATGTAAGCAGATCATAAGTTATAGTCACACGGGACAAACTTCAAAGAAGAGAATTTCAACCATGTTCTAGATGCTTTTTGTGCGGAGCTGCTAGGGAAAATAAAAGACACTTATTCATTCATTGTGTTGTTACCGGGAAATTATGGCAACTATTCTTGAACATGGTAGGAATCAGTTGCTTGATGCCAGCAACAAGTGTTTATTTACTGAAATGCTGGAATCTGACGGACAGTTAGTCAGAAAAATTGGTGCAAACTTGTCCCTACTTGTTATGGTGGACTATTTGGAAGTAGAGGAACTGTGGAGCTTTTGAAGACAAATATGATTTTGTGCAGAAAATCAAGATGAATTGTATATTTTTGTTTCATTTTTGGTATAAAGAAAGCTATGTTGAGGAGGCTGAATCACTAGTTGATATGTTAGGATCCTTATGAAGAAGTAGCCTAAGCTTGGTTGGGATTTTGTAAAGTCTACTTTAATATATACTGGTAACTAATGCTAAGACGTCATGAGATTGGTCATAACTATTGTTCTATACTAAGTTGTTATGTGCTTCAACAATTAAATGGAACAGTTGAAGTTTGAATCACATAGTGATTTAGGCTTTAGGATTGACCGACTCATAACGTTCGAAACAGCCAAAGAAAAAGGCCTCATTCTCAAAAAATATTATACTAAACCACAAACTTGTGTGTTGCACATTTTTCAAGTACAACAAAATACATGCGACTGTGGTCAGAACAAGAAACACAAAGTATACTTCCTTGCAAAAACAAAGCATCCTGAAGTAATTACTTAGGAGGATAAGTTCCCATTTATTCTTCAAACAAGGATTATCCATCTCCGGGATTCAAAGAACGACCATCAGTACACCACTCGGCACTCTAGTTTAAATCCAGATGCACAACTAAATTCAGCTTGTGCCGGGAAAACTGAAGTGAGGAACAAAAATCACAAAATTAAAATGGAACTGGAAATAACTTTTCACCATCTCCACTGCTCCCTCCCCAAAAAATCCACGGGGGAGGCTCCTTTATAGAAAGAATAATCGCAACATAACTTAGTTTCTTTCCTTTCAAAGCATAAGATCTTTCATCTACAAACTCATCAAAAAAGGATTTTTCATCTTCAAATTAGATTAGCAAAGTACAGTAGCTGATGAATAGTTCACAAAAAGTGAGACTGATATTAACCTATCAAATTGATAAAGTTTGGACATTCACAGTACTTGAACATTGTTGCTTTTAGACATGATCATAAGACATCTGTCATCTCTAGATTGATCGGGTGTAACCAGTAGCCAATAATCTATGATCAACTTCTTCGGGAAATGCTAAATACTAGAAATGAGAGCATTTGATGTACATGTACGCCAATAAATATTGCAAATCTCATGTAACTAAAATCGTAGGCTGCAACATTATTATACATACTTGAAATAGATGGTGATCAATGATGCTTTGAAATCAAATACGCCAGCCATTCCACTACCTCTTTTCTTGCACGCCACTTTGTGTCGGAATTCATGGTACTTGTGTGCCCAAAAGCATCCAAATAATCCTCTGAGACAACATATAGTATGTGCCTTGGACTTACTCCCCTGAGGTATCCTTCAAGTAGTAGTGCACAACACGATGACCCTTCTCCCGAGAAACAACGTGCTTTTCCCACAAACTAAATACATGAATATCTGTATCCATCCTGATGCCACAGAGAAACAATTATTTTACGCTAAAGAGTCATGAGCAAACATAATCCTCCTAAGTTCTGTTATAATGTAGGACCCGAACCGAAATGACTGTAACTAAGAACATCAGACATAAAGAAGACATTTTTCCAGCAATTAGCTCCTGATGACCATATAAACAATTCAAAAAACAGCATCAAACCACAATCCCAAGTGAAACACAGACATAATTTTGCTTACTCCAAAGCTAAACTAACCTTCAAAAAAATTCTCAGTACAACTCAGCTACAAAGAACAGATTTTTTTCAAGAATCACCAACCAAGGACCAATAAATCCCAAACCCACGTGAAAAACGAAATGGGGTTTGCTACTTTTCAAAGATTAACCATGTCCAAGAACAAAAACACACAATATTGAACCAGCATTGAACAGACACCAAGTGATCACACATAAAACAAATAGCTTAGGGTTGGAAAAGAAATAAGCAGCAAAAAAGAACCCGAAATTCAAAAAAAACAAAAAACAAGCTAAGCATGTACTGACCTCAAAGTTTAGCAAAAGTTTGTTGCTTTATGGAGAAACAGAGCTTGAAAAGGCCTAAAGAGGGAAAAATGAGGTAAGAATACCTCACAAGTCTCCAATTAAAAAAAAGGGACAAGTGGGGCCTCTTCATCTCTTCCTCAATTTAATTAACTCTTAATTAATATATTGGACCAAATTAGTATTTTTTAAAACTTAGGAGGCTTTATTTTAAATTGTGAAGCATATTAAGAATGGAGAAAACCTTTTAACTTATTCAATTTTCTTTTCAAAACTGAAGTTACAGATTCTCCAAGAACGGGACTTTTTTTTTCAAAAAAAAAATTTCTTCATCATCTTCAAAATCATCAAATCTTCTTTGAGTTTGTTGTGTTTTTCTTTTCAATCAGTAGCTAGAATACAAGGTAAATTTTCTTCTCTTTTCTATTTCAAAGGATAAGATTAGGGTTTAATAAAGAAGAAAATCATCATCATCCCTCATCTTGCTATTATATGTTTTTTTTATTTTTACATTATATTTATTCCGTTTGAACTTGAAATTAACTCAAAAGAGCATTTTTGATAAGTATAAAAAATATTTTGTGTCCATTCTTCAGCTGGGTTTAGTGAATTCAATTTAGTTGTTTCAGCCAACAACTTAAGTAGTTGTTTGGACAACTACTGAAGTTGTTTATAGAAATAACTTTATATTTTTGTTAATACAGAAATTGTCCAACAACTTCCTGTAGTTGTCCGACGATTCAGAAGTTGTCCCAACAACTACTGCAGTTGTTAGACAATTGTGTTTAATTGTTGGTCAACTGATTAGTTGTAGGACAAATAATTTAATTATTGATCTATAATGTACCACTATTGCTCCTTTTTTGTTGATCATATTCAGTTAATTTCTTACTATTTACTAACTTTTAACTATTTTAGTGTAGTTATAATGCTTCAATATAAGAGGAAGAGAACTGGAACATCTTCATCCAATCCAAATGCTAAAGAAAATGTTGAGAGCTTAACTGCTGCTAGAAAAAGAGGTACAACAACACTTCAAAGTATCGGTGGACAACCAGCTGGAGAAGAAAAAAGTGATGAAAAAAATAGTAAGAATAACAGTGACCTATCAGGTGAAGAAAAAAGTGATGAAAATAGCAACGAAAATTCAAGTGAAGAGAAAAAAGATGGTGAGAGTCATGGAAATGAATCAGGTAGAGAGGAACAAAGTGAAGAAAGTGAAAGTGAACAATCGGATGAAAAAGAAGAAGAAGGTATTGAATCCTCTCCAAATTATGTTAAAATCATTTCCAATGATAAGTATAAGTTTAAGACCCACTTGAGTGTGTCTGGGTCTTATGATTCAAGCATCAATGCAAGAGTTGGTTTTGGAGCTCAATTTGTTGAGTTTAGAAAGATTTTAATCGCACAAAAAATTGAAAATGATTTTAAAAAATCTTGTTTTGGTCACTTTTTGAAGTTGGATCAATCTGTAGCAGTACAACTTCCAATGAAGTTAGTACATGGCCTTTGTCTTCGTCGTATATTTTCTGAAAAGAAGAAAGAGGTTTGGATTGATTATAATGGTTTGCCTCTTTGTTTTGGCATTAATGAATTCGCTATTATGACTGGACTTCGGTGTCATTCCCTACCTCCTCTAAGTCAACAATTAGCGAAAATTGGAAAAGAAGGTGAAATTTTGGTTGATCTGGTGGGTCAATCTGCAAATGCTGCTGTACTCATAGAAAAGATAAGTGATCCATGCTTAACCAAAAAGCAAAAGTTTGCTATTAGTATGGTTTGGTTTTTGCATTGTGTAATGTGTTCAAAAAGTGCAGAAAAGAAGATAGAAACTCATTGGCTAAAGATGGCTTCCAAAAAAAGTGTGTTCAATTCATATCCATGGGGTCGAGTTAGCTTTGATCTTATCATTAGCTATCTTTTGAAAGAGCTAGATTCAACCAAATCTCAGTATAATCTTCATGGATGTCCGTGGGCGTTCGCCGTAAGTAATTAAATTGATGTTTTTATTTTATAATTTTTAGTTAAATTATTATTTGACTTTATTATCTATACTAAGCTATTTTTAATATTATATTGTAGGCTTGGGCGTTTGAAGCTATTCCGGCACTTCAACGATTGGCCAAGGATTCTTCACCTGAAAAATCAATTCCAAGAATGATTAAATGGATGGCTGGAACACCTGCTTACAAGACAAATATTGATCCTATTTATCAGACAAAAGAACAAGTAAGATTATATCTACATAATATTAGTAGTTGTGTTATGCAAAAGTTAAACAAGTAGTGTAATTATTGGACAACTGAACTTGTTGTTCCGTCAACTATTCAAGTTGTCCAACAACAGTAAAAGTTGTAAACATACAACTTAGCTATTATTGTACAACTAAATTAGTTATTTCAAAAATATTATATATCTATATAATATTAATTGTGTTATGCAATATTGAAATACTACTGTATTATAAGACAACTAAACTTGTTTCCACAACTACTTTAGTTGTCCAACAACAATAAAGTGATTTCCACAATCACATATTACTGAAGTTGTAATTGGACAACTGATTCAGTTGTTTTTAAATTATGAATAACTTTTTTTTTTAAATGCAGATGCAAAATCAGGTTGTTCACCCTTTTCTTTTTCCAACAAACATAGAGAAGGAACAAATTTATGTTCAAGATATTGAGTCATATGAAGATAGTTCGGATCCAAAAATTGATGCTTTAAAAGAAGAGTTGGCACTTGTAACAGCTATAAAACTTAATATAACTGTTGTTGAAGAACGTCTTGAGATAACTGGTGGAGAGAATAGTGTTGCGAGAAATTATGGAGTTG